TGACGAACAATGGCATCGATGTATGAGCATTGGAAAAGAGAAATGGAGTGTGACTCACAGTCACACATGATCTCAATGCCGAGAATCCAGTGCAGCTCCCCCAAATCCATGACTTCCACATATTTTGCCATACCTTCCTTTATCTCTCACACTAGATGCAATGATGATGCTGCGATAGTGCAGTCATCAACATGGACAGCAATGATAGTCAAGTTTTGGCCCTCCTGCTTGTAAAACATGGCTTGATCAATGTCGCACTGCTTGAATCCCAGCTGCACCACTAAAATCTCAACGAGACATTGATACCAGCAACGACCACTCTGCTTCAAACCATATAGAGTCTTTATGAGATGGCAGACTTGACCAGGATGGGAGCCAGGCTCAGGATAGCCAGAAGGTTGATGCATGTAAATGATTTCTCCATTGGTGAGCTTTCCATTCAAGTATGCGCCCTTGATATCGACTTGATGGAGCTCTAGGTCGAGTGCCACAGCCATAGCAAGGATTGAACAGATAGATGCAAGCTTTGCAACAGGAGCATAAGTGTCAAAGTAGTCGATGCCAGATACTTGTGAGAACCCTTGTGCTACCAAGTGAGCCTTGAACTTGACTATGCCTCTCTCAGCATCCTTCTTGATTCAAAAGACCCACTTCGAGCCCATGACATTTGCTCTAACTGGTTTTTCAACAATTTTCCAAGTCTCTGCAGTCTTCAATGTTGCAAGCTCTTCCTGTATTGCACCTTCCCACAAAGGCCAATCAGGCTGATGCTTTGCTTCAGCTAGACTGCATGGCTCTAAGGCTTCTGCATCAGCTGTTGAAATGGCCATGGCATACTCCTCAAGGAAGTCAGCATCCTCGAGTATCATCAACCAATCTGCCTCTCCTTCTCCCTCAAACTCAAGAGGTTCATTGTTTTCATTGGCAACTGGTAACTGAACACCAACAGGTACCACAGGATCGCTTGGGTGTGCCAATACACTGCCTTTGCTGGAGATGAGGTCCAGCACCTGCTGGCTAGGCTTTCGAATGCATCCGGAACAGGTTTCTTCAACTATGGGTTGGACTGTAGGCTGGACTTTGGGGGTAGGTGACACCTGTGATGGCTTTGCAGTAGGTGGATTGGGCTGAGTTTTTGGCATTGACAGAATCTTGTGTAGCTCAATGTCTTCCTCCCCTTCAAGATCGTCAGTGGCAATACGAGTTGTGTCGAAATAGACATTTTGCTCAATGGACACTGTCTTGCTCTCTGTCCAGTAGATATGGGATCCATTGCTTGTTTCATTGAATCCAATCCACTGACCTTTATATACACAGCCACCCAGCTTCATAGCCTTAGTCTCAAGGTGTACCCAGCATTTCTCTCCCCATTCCCACAACCCTTTTAGATCTGGCTTCTTCCCTGTGACAGCTTCATAAGGAGTCATTCCATCTAGAGCCTTTGTCGATGTTCTGTTGAGGACCCAGACAGCATGGTGAACAGCCTCAGCCCATAGGAAGCGAGGTAAGCCACTTGAATGCAGCATAGCCCTGACTTTTTCGATAACTGTGTGATTATACCTTTCAGCCACCCCATTGTGCTGTGGCATATCATGCACAGTCATCTTCGTTGCCGTGCCAGCATTTTTCAGATGCAAGACAAATGCTTTGTCGAAGTATTCACCTCCACGGTCTGAATGGAGGATTTTTACAGGGCAGTCATGCTGAGTGTGGATGTGAGCTTCATAGGCTTTGTATGCTGTGAAAGCTTCACTCTTCTGGCGTAAGAACTCAAGGTAAGCCCAACAAGTGCTGTCATCAATGAAAGAGATGAAGTAATGGTGTTTACGCAGGGATTCTACAGGTGCAGGTCCCCATAAATCAGAGTGAATTTCACCTCCAATATCGGTTGCACGTTCTCCCCCTTGAGCCTTAGACACTGGCTTTCATGTAGCTTTAGCATAGACACATGACTCACAGAACCATGGTTCTCCAGATGACTTGTCGAGCTTTACTCTGGTCACGAAGCCTTTTTCAACCAGACGGCGAGCAACTTCAGGTGAAATGTGGCCCATGCAGGAGTGCAATTGGTCTAGAGTAAGCATCTCCTCAGCTGTCCCAGCCAAATCTCCCTCATGACAAACCCGATATAGGCCACCATCATCTTTTGGGACAACCCCAACGACCTTTCCATCTAGTGCATGGATGGTGCATTTTCCGCCACTGAAAGTCAACTCGAAACCAAGATCGTCAAGTCGGCCAACTGAAATGAGTGTATAGCCAACTTCGGGAGAGTATATGATCTTGGTGAGTTGCAGATTGCTCGCATTTGCACCATTTGGCACATCAATGCTCATCACACCCTTTCCAGCTGCAGAAAATTTTTGAGTGTTCGCAGCACGGAATGCCTTGGGCGGGACAGACTGGAACGAGTTGAAATCATCGTGGTAAGGGGAAATATGGCATGTACAGCCAGAGTCATAGAGTTCAGTATGAATTTGAACATCGGGTGAGTTTACAGTGTTGGTAACAGCTGCGACTGACTCTTCAGAAGCAGATACATCCTCCAAGGTCAGCATGCCAGATGTGGCATCCGATTGCTTGTCAACAAAGGAGTTCACATCACTCCAGTCAACATCTGAGGACAATGCGCTGTTCAGCTCATCCCACGACTCATCACCAACCTC